AGATCGAACCCCTACAACCTACGGACCTACGACAGCCTACCACTGTTGCGAATACACAGGTCACGGGTTCAACTCTCGGGGTCGACACAGGTACTGTACACAGGTGAGGTAAGGACTAGGGATCGAGCACTGGGATCTGCATTCGCTACTGCTAACAGGTGAATACCGTTTCACATTTCTTGCTTCAGACAGTGGGACCTGAGAGGAAAGGTAGGGGTAAGGCAAGCTGACAGTCAGTCCTCCACACTGCTGGAGCAATCAATGCCGTTCAGGGCTCCTTCAGTCAGACGGAAGAAAGCGTGAGGGTGTTTTTATCATACTGTAATTTTGACTTGACGAAGTTGGCGGTGCATTAGGAACCGGACTGATGCTCGACAGCATGGATACGGAGCCAGGGCCATAACCCATAAGGACCTTTTTTTTTGTTGTTGTTTTTTTAAAAGTGGGGAGTTTTTATTATTTCTGCACTGTAGATAGCTCCTATGAGTGTTCCAGATAAAAGGAAGTCATCTTATTCGTGATGCTGAGATATGTTGACAATTGGTCCTTATGTATGTGATTTCTTTGCTGTCTAGGTAGTAGGTTCCCTTCCCCTTTTTTTTCCGTTTTTTCTTTTTTTCGTGAGATGACCCTCAACCAAACATAGTTTGTATTGCAATTCTACACAACACATTTTCTCCGAGATTTTTTTTTTTTTTTTTTCCTCTGGGGCTGCCCAGAACCTGTTGCCTGGCCGGGTATTTCAGGCAAGCAGAGGCAGCCTGCACACCTGGAAATGTATCCTTGATAAATGAATACTAGAAAACAAGTTTAAATAACTTAAAAAATAATATAAAGACTAAAAAGTTAAATAGCACTGGTGAGCAGTGTGCATACAGAAGAAAGCAATCATGTTTCACTGTTCAAAAATTGAAACAAACCCTTCGGAAACGAAAACAGCACAAAACTTTGGAAATTTCCCAAATAATTTTTGATATGTAAAGAATCAATCCAGAAGAAAGGAACTAGAGGTAGGTAATGCATGCAAAGAACCTGCCAGGATGGAACCTATACACACATGAGAGAAATTGCAAAGGTTATGATGATGGCTGATCAATGATCATGTTTGGAAGAAATGACTGGAAACAGTGAACTAGAGGTAGTTGACGCAAAGACATGGAAAGTATACACACCTGAGAGAAATTGCGAAGGTTATGATGATGGCTGCTCATGTATGGAAGAATGACTGGAAACAGTTCTTTTATCATCTCGCTCCGTTGTGGTGACTCGTGAAGTGCCAAACTCGCAGCTACGAGTATGTAAGATGCAAGAGTCTGGTCAGGCAAACAAAGTCACAAGTTTGTTTAGTTCTATCTTATCCTTTGGCCTCTCACGACAAGCACAATATGGAAGGAATAGACTGGATTAATGGTGGAAATAGCTTCATGGCAGAGTAGCTTCATACTAGTTTTATAAATTTATATTTGATTATTTTCACAGTTCTTTAGCTTTGCTTTTAGCGATTTGGTCTTTGGCAGACACGTTCCAACTTCCAAGTCTTCCATTTTGTTGTTATCCCTGAGTTTTACACTTTGCAAAAAGTCCAATAATTCCTGCCCAATTACTTGAATTTCTTTCTTTTCTTTCCTTTTTTTTTATAAATAAAAATAAAAATAAAACAGAACCTCCTGGTTCTGGCTCCTACCATTCTGGGGAGCAACAGTCCGGTTCCTTTCCCCCGGCAAGTCAATAGTAGATACATAGGAAACACACGCACGCTCCCCCCCATTATGGCTGGGAGGCCCGAGTGGACGACATTGAATACTTCCCTGAGGAAGGTTTTACCACCCCTCACCCCTGCCTAAGTTAACCTGTACTATCTCAGTTTGCCAAAACATTTAATCCCAGTTCCTATCTTACTATCCGTATCCTATATTCCTTGAACCCTACAACCCCCTTCACTTATCCTTCTTTGCCTTGCCCCACTTTATTTCTTATGGCATCCTAAGTTCCTGTGTCAAATAGTGTCCTCCTGTCGCTCATCTTTGAACCAATGGAAGATAATTCTCTCTCCTTCTATGGCCGCGACTTTGCCTCGGGCTAGTACCTTTTTCTGGAATTTGAATAAAATATCCTTTGCCCTTTCAGGGTTAAGAGCCACTTGCTTTTGTCCTTCTCCATAACGCCCTAATCTCTGCCTCCAACTGGCTATAGAGAATTGCCTTGGCTTCCACTCTAGTCATCAGAAACTTACACACCACCTGCCGACATCTTCATTTCCATATTGTCCATAAAGTGTACTGTCTCAGAAGCTGAAAGATATATTTATGGCCTGCCCGCCATTCCTTAGGCACCTCACTTCCTATCAATATTAGTTTCCTGTTTCGTGGGAAGGGGACCTCTGTAGTATGTGTCCACAATGAACGAGCTATGGACCAGAGATATTCTGCTTCCGGCCAATGGAGCAAGCAATGGATCAGAGTTTCCTGAACGCCTCTCATACACATAACACAGTCGTGATCTGACTCATTCCTATTGAGCCTGCTTCGCTTATCGAACAGCCAGACATTGACTGGGAGTGCTACATGATAGATGAGCCACTGCATGCTCCTGACCTTGGCCAATCTGATACTGTGCAAAGTTGACTATGGTAACCTTTCTACCTATTCCCTTGGTATATCCAGTCTCTTTTCCCATCTTATCAGCAAAGTCTGATCCAGATGAGATGATCTCCCCCTCATACAGTAGCCCAATTTAGTTGTGTACTGAAGTATATTAATTCTCCTGCTTACTCTGGACGAGTTTCACCTGATGTTCCATGCCGATTCTGCTGGATCAATTTCCAGGTCCCGAATGGATGTCAGTGGCTCAAATATCGTAAAATCTTCATTTATCGTAAAATCTTCATTATCGACCACTTTGACGTTTCTTAAGATGCTTTTCTTAATGGCAATCGGAACCCTGGAATCCTTATCCAGCATACTGACCGTGACTCTTGAAGATAATATTGTGTACATATCTGCTTCCAACCACTGTTTAGAAGGTCCTACCTCCTGTCTTATGCGAAAGGCTGCCTC